TGTAGAAAGTTCTCCCCTTGCAATAAGTTCTGTCTCAACTTCACGACTGGAAAAGAATCAACCTCAGAGGACGATGGATGAAGAGGACATAAGAGTGGCGGAGGAAATCAAAAACATTCTTAAAGATGATTGTTTAAACTTTTCAAATGAACCAACAGCTCCCAGTGCTGGTGAAGCTCAGAAACACACAAGAAAGGGATCGGCAAGGAAAGTGAAACATGTGATTGTCCCGGCAGCTAAATCTAAAGGAGAAATCCCAGCTGGCAGAGTTTCACCGCCGAAAAACACACAGCGTCCTAAGAAAAATTCCATGATGCAAAAGGAGATCACCGAGGAAGAGAAACTGGTAGACGATATCGAATATATCTTGAACGACGATATTTCTGCAGTTGAATCAAGTGGACAAAACACCACCGGCAGAGTTTCACCCTCGAAAAAAGCACAACATCCCAAGAAAAATTGCACTGGGGAAAACAATATCTCGGTGGACGAGAAAATGGCAGACGATAACGAATATATCTTGAATGATGATATCCCTGTAGCTGAATCAAATGGCCAAAACACCACCGGCAGAGTTTCACCCAAGAAAAAGTCCTCAAGGGATGAGAAACTGGCGGAGGATATCGATTACATCTTGAATGACGATATCCCTGCAGCTGAATCCAATGAATTCCGTGCTGGCAGAGTTTCACCCTCAAAAAACGAACAACATCCCAAGAAAAAATCCTTAAGGGAAAATAAAGTCACAGGTGATGTGAAACTGGCAGATGATATTGATTATATCTTGAGCGACCATATCCCTGCAGCTGAATCGAACGGAGAAATCAGCGCTGGTACAGTTTCACCCGATGAAAAGGTGCAGCGAGTCATGAAAAAATCTAGAGGTGAAAACAAGCTCATAGATGACAAGGGCATCGCAAAGGATGTCAAAGATAACATACTTACTGCTGAAGAAGTCAAGGGTCAAATCTCTTCTGGCAAATTTTCGCCAAAGAAAAAAAATGTGTCGTTTCAGGAACCGGAGCAAACTGATGATAACGAGGCACAGGATGAGGAAGATGGTTCAAGTAGAAAAGTATCATTCGGTCTTGATGCACTTCCTCCTCTTGTGAGGAAACATTCTAAACAGTCAGATGAACAATTGGCCAAGGATATAGAGTATATTTTGCACGAAGATGATATTTTTGCTGTCAAGCCAGAGGTTGTTGCAATCACATCCAGTCCGAGCGAATTACCTCGACCTAAGACAAGCAATCCTAGGCTTACGTTAGCAATGGAGATGGACAAGATCTTTGATCCCGCGTCGATAGATTGCTCAGATCAGGCAGATGGCACTTTGGCAGAGGATCATGAAACAGTTAATGGTGTCTCAAATACAACAATTTCGCCAAGTTTTGGGGCATCTCCACGCCCTAGGAAGAAAACCCGAAGAAGGAAATCAAAGTATATGACGGTCGTAGAAGACGTGACAGGGGAAAGTGATTCCAATGCGTCAGTTATATCAACTAGCTCAGCGTCGCCATCACAAAACGATTTCTCATCAAGCTCAGGCACAGAGAAACACCAGAGAACACATTCCACGAGGAGCAAAGAAACAACAGAGGACGAAACGGCGTCAAAGGACAGAGATCATACCTTGAAAGGACACTTAGAAACTGAGAAATCACTTGAGCCAATTTCTTCCAGTTCTGGTTCATTGCCTCGACGTCCGAAGACGAGAAATCCAAAACGTATGTTAGCTAACCACATCCAAAGTTCTGCCTCAGCAGCTTCTAGCTCTCGTGCTCTATCACGTCCAAAACAAGATTCTCTTCGGAAACCAAGACAGGCACCCTACAAATCAGCAAAAGATGGTTTTGTGCACGGTGCATCAAATGTACAAATGGCGTCGACGGCTTGCGCAGCTCCACGCACCAACAATAGCAACAATTCCACAAGGAAATCCAAAGATACTTTAATCCTAGAAGATGTTGACTCCGGTGAGCAAATCGCTTCAAGTTCTTGCACAGTAACGCGGTCGCCGCAGATTTCACCTCGGGAACAAAAACATGCAAAAGACGTCATGACAGGAAAAAAGAGCGACCGTACGTTACAAGATACTAAAGACGCGGCCTCAATCGGATCAAATGCGTCAAGTGCAAGTACTGGTACTCGATTGAGAAAGAAACATCCCACGAGACAACCCAAGGAAACAGAAAAGACTAACTTGGACGAAATCATCAACGAGATTATGGAAATTCCAACACGAGAC